GGGGGGGTTCAATGAAATTCTACGGTAAACTACGTGGGGGAGGGGAGGGGTTCGAGCCATGACTACGTAGTTATATTTATTAAGTCATTTAATTTTGATTTTGATATTTTTTAAATTGCGCGGGTAATTCCAATGTCGAATTGAGCGATATATGAATATAAAGTAGAATTTTTGTAAAATTAAATTTGTATAAATTATTTTAAAATGATTATTATAAACTTGATGAAAATAAGAAAAATAATTGGGTCTCACGAATAATATGCCATGAAAATTATAAAATTGCATTTTTAGTGTTTCGAAATCACATGCTTTTAGAAATATTACTTAATCAAAAGAAATTAATGCAAACAATATTGTAAACAAATTTTTAGTAATTAAGAATTCTACAATTTACTAAATTTTCATTCATTGAAATTTTTAATTAGCTATATCTTTATTTATCATAATTATTAAAAAGTGTGTAAAAGCATATTTAAGAGCATTTATTTTATTGAAAAAATTTTTTTTAATTCAATAGAAATACATTTTTAAATAAGTAAAAAAAAACTACGTTCTATCAGTGGAGGGGGGGAGGGTTAGAGCGAAAGTCTACGTTGGTCTACATGGGGGGAGGGGGGGTCAAAAAGTGCTAAAAATTGGGCTACGTGGTTTATGGACGGCCCCTTATAAGAAATTAATTTAAAACTTTGTCTTTACATTTCTTACATTTTTTTACATATTTTAATTTAAATTCAATTAAATTTGATGCTTAACTAAAATTTAATTTGTTAATTTTTATTTTCATTTGATAATAACATGAAAACAATTGGACAATTCATTTATTTTAATTTTATTTCTGATTAAATGAACTAATGACTTATTTTTGTCACTTATATTTTTCGATAAAATTCACTTTTTATATAAATATTTTTTTTGATATTTTCTGTTTTTTTATTCTATATGTGAGCTAATATATTTATTATTATTAGTTAGACTCTTTCAAGTTTAAATCTTTCCGATTTCAATCCTTTTGAAAAAAATGAAACTAAATAAATTATCCAAATCTTTTTGTTTAATTATCAACTTAAAAAGATTATTCAATATTATTTACATAATTTCTTTCAAAACTAGATTGGGAAGCAATACATTATTGAAAATTTTTCCATCGCAACACCAAATCCAAACTTCAATGTATTTCAAAATAATTTTGAAATACAATTAAATGAAAATTCAATAGTTTCTTCTGATATCGATGAGAAATCGAATTGTTTACCGCAACACAAATATGAGTTCCAAACCATTCCGGAAATAAACTCTATGCCAGTTGGAAAATTTGTCGGTAAATATATTATTTTTATTTAAGGTTGAACAATTGATAGGGTTAATTTAAAAAATTCAATAAGTTATTTTTATTTAAGATTAAAAAATTGATAGGGTTAATTTAAAAAATTCAACTATTAACTAATTAATTACAATACTTGTATCGGTTAATTGAGGTAAATAATTTATTATTACATAAATTATTATTATTATTATTACAAATTGTATAACTACACTGAAAAAACCAGTATTGAACCAAGAAAATTTTAATTGGTTAAAAAAAATCATGAAATTGAATACGTTCAAATCAATTATAATATTGTTACAAGATAAAGATTGTCTTGACACAGTATATTTGAAAGAAGAACATATGTTCTTGATCAAAGAAAATATAGAATTTAAGCAAAAAGTTAATAAGTTAATAAGTTAATACGTTCCAGTAAGAAAATATCGTATTGTTTAAAGTAAAGAACCTTAAGTAAATGCATTTACTTGATTCAATGGATTATTTTTTTAAGTGTATAACATCCCAGATAGCGCAATATTGTCAACCTTGTACGGCAATCTTGTCGCAAGATTTCTGCAAGATTTAAATGTCTCACTCGACCAAAACAAGCATGGTAAGCTTGTAGCAAGATTGCCATGCAAGGTTACTTTAAGATTGCTCACTAAGATTATCGCAAGATTGCACAGTAAGTTTGCACGTTAAGTTTGTGGCAAGGTTACTTGGCAATCTTATGGCTTTCTTGCTGCAAGCTTGCGTAATTTAAAAAAAAAATTTGAAGGGAGGAAATTTATTTTTGTCAATACATTGGGCACCAGTTCCTAGGAGCTCATAAAAAATTTACTGCGCAGCCGTAAGTGCTTGTGATTGCAAGTGCGATAATGCTTATTTTCGTAAACTTCCAAAAAATTTTTTTGAATATTCCACAAGCTTGCAAAATTATTTATATAATATTACAATCATATAGTATAGTATAAAACATTATTATAAAATAACCAAGATGAAACTTACATACTAAATACTATTTAATTTTGTAGACGTATGTGGAATAATTTCAGAAGTTAATGAGGTTGAGGAAATTAATAATACTTCAACTTCATCTTCTTTTTCAAAAAGAACAATAATTTTAATAGATGAAAATGGGGAAACTGTAAGTATTGATACTTAATATAAAACAAAAAAAATTTTCCATTTAAATAATTAATTATATTAATTTTTAATGTATAAAATTATATAAAATTATTTTTTAGATTCCAGTGGCATTGTGGAACAACGCAGCGCGCTCATTTGATATTCCGGCTAAAAAAATTATTATAATAAAAAAAGGAAAAATTGGCTGCTACAAATCACAAAATTATATCTCAATAATTCAGTCAAGCTTAATTAAACTGAATGATTTGAGTAATGACCAAGTGTTGAGGTCAGAATATTTACAAATATGATGAATATATTTTTAGCGGAAGCATTAAATTTAATGGATTTACAAAAAATTTTAACTATACCTATTTTCCTGTTTCAGATTAACTGCTTGCAGTGACAAATTATAAAAAATTTTGTTGGTTTATTTATAAAACTAAGTATTCGGTAAAAAAAACTGTCATAACTTATAACTGGAGTTATATTAGACCCAAATTGGCCAGGTACTTGGAAAAATGTCTTCCAAAAATGGAGTTATTTAAAATTATTCAATAGGTGTTTGTATTTTTGTTTGAATTTTTACTTGTATTTTTGTTTGTATTTTTGTTTTTGTGTCAGTCCATTGATTTTCGTCTGAAAGTCGTTGTGACCAAATGTTAAAAAATTCTAATTTTCCCATATGTGAAACTAGATGATTTTCTGAATTCATTAACCATAATATTATGATATAAATTTTATTTTCTTTAATAATATTAATTATCAAATGTAAAAGATTCAAGATGAGATTTCGTAACCGTAAATTTTTCAATTTTTTAAAATCATTATTATTAAAAATTTGCTAATTAATAAATATTGAAACTTACAAAAATTATAAGTCAATCTATTCTATATATTTAGATGACGGAATTTTTATAAAATTCCATTACTTTTAGATAATAAATAATTTTAAAAATATTTTGTCAAAAAAAATTTGGAATTTTTTGTTTATTTGTAATTTTTTTGTGGTACCTCCAAAAAATTTTCGGTTTTATGGACATGTTCTTAATAATATTATTTATTTTATTATTATATTATTAATTATTTATTAAAATAGGTTAATTCTAGTAATAAAATTTAATTGACCAATTTCACATCGTTTTATTTTCATATAAAAGTATATAAAAATAGAACGACAAGTTCTAGAATTAACCTATTTTAATGCAAATTTTTAGAAATTAATATATCGAAAACGAAGCATGACACCATCGTAAAATTTCAATAGAAGATAAATTATATTATTCAGAACATGCCTGTAAAACCCCAATTTTTTTGGAGCTCCCGCAAAAAAGTTTAATTTAATAATTAGAAGATTTTTAAAAATAACGTTTTTAAAAAATTGAAAAATTTAAAGTAACAAAATCTCATCGTCAACCTATTGCATTTAATAATTCATATTATTAAAGACAAATTGATTAATGAACACAAAAAAACATCGAGTATCACATATATTAAAATTAGAATTTTTTATAATTTGGTCGCAACAACTTTGAGACGAAAGTCAATGGACTGACCAATTTATATTTGAATTTTTGTTTTTTCAAGTAAATTATTATTTGTATTTGAATTGTTTGTATGTTTTATATTGTTTATAAAGAATATATTATATCATCCACTACATTATTATGGCCTAAATTATTATTTAATCTGTATAACTTTATTTCTTTCATCTTTTTTATAAGAAACAAAAATTACTTTTTAATTTTAAAAAGTTGAAAAAATTCAGTTTTAATAATTAAATAAACAATATTTACATCCATATTCGATTTTAAATTGACTTTTTGGTACGGTTTAAAATTTCATTTACTTTACTTTATAATTAATTTTAAAAAATTGTTTCTTTTATGAGAGGTATTTTTATTGAGATTCTTTGAAAACATGATTTCTACAAAATCATTAAGATTTTCATTAAAAAAAGAAAAAGCAAAATTATTAAGATTATTCAATTATTAATTATTATGCGTACTTATACTAGAATTCCTGTCTTTTTTAAGTTTTTAGATGTAACTGAAAATGTAATTTTAAATAATTTTATCATTACAAGGTATGGAAAAAAACTATTTAATACAACAATACAAATTACTATGACATACAATTATATTCATATGTAATTTTTAACAAATTATAAAATACAGACATTATTTGTTAATTATATATGAAAATTTTTGTCGTGTAGGTAGGTCCAGGGTTATACGGTTGGGCCACTGTAATTAATCAATATTAAATGAATAAAATAGAGTAAACAAGATTCCCAAATAACATAAAAAATTAAAATTGAGCAAATAATATTTAAAATTGAAATAAAACAAACATTGTGCACAGAAATCATATTTTTTTGGCGTTTCGCACAATCGGTCTAAAAAGTTCAGAGAAATTATCATACATTAAAACCAACAATTTCTTAATGAAAATGTCATTTTATTCTTTTTTGACATTAAAAATAAAAATTTCATAGTTTGGGCCTATGATAATACAAAAAAATTGATAGGTGGCTCAACCGTGACAAACGGCGACGTAAACAAAAAAATTATTTCTTTTGGCCACAAACTTTATTTTTAATTTTTATATTATTTTACATTATATTTGTACACTTTCTTACAGGCTTTAATCATTGATGTAAATAAAGTGTCCAAATTATTTTGAAATTGTTGTTGGCGCTTCCATTCAGGAATGTGCCGCCTTCCTCCCTTGGTTCCTCTGTAATTGTCTACAAATACAATAAGAATTAATAATATGTTTATTTCATTTTATTATATTTAATGACGTGTTCTACCAACAGTTTTATTATACAAAATATGAACGTGGAATAAAATAAAATTGTTTTGGGCAATATGTTCCATAATAAATCTGGACAATGTATATATGTGACCTGGTCTACGAAAAGGGACCTTACGTGTCAAAAAATCAATTTTCATTTTTTTGTTGATTCGGATGGAGATTAAAACGTTCTTTAAGATGGTGAAAACTACAATGTCATAATTATAAAATATAATAAATTATATAATATAATTATAAACATGTATCAATTATTTATATTTATGGTTTATATTTAGAAAACTCAAAACATTATTTCTATGTTTGTGGAAATTGTTATTAATTTATATGAAAAAATATATTAAAATTTTTTCACTTATTGTATTTTTTTTTAATTCGATACTGTGATCCACAATCAAAAAAATATGCCAAATTTAATTAAAAAATAGTAATATTTAAAAATTTTACAAGCGTTTATCTAACTTTAAATTTCTAACTTCTATTTCCTCCTAAATTTTTTTTTGAACATAAAGTTATTTTTCATAGACGAGGTCACATATATTGTTCGAAATTCATTTAAATTTCTTAAGAAGCTAAAATGTCAATATCACATATTTTTTTTATTTTGTGTATTCAAAAAAAATTTTCTGTTTATAATTTTATCTAAATTACCAAAAACCAATCAACTATAAATATTTTAAACAAATTTTATAATAATAATAAATGTTAATTTAAGTAAAATTTTTTAAAACATTTTTAATTAAACACTATTTTTAGATTTATATGTTTTTTGGTAATTTTTCTAATATTAATTTGAAATATGATTAATTTGTTTTTATCATTTAGCTTAAAAGAATGTATTAAAATTATTTTAAGAAATAAAAAAATTTGACTTTTCGATTTTTGTAAAAAAATTTATATTTTCTGTTTAAGTGAATATTTTTTTTATCTAGTGAGAATAAGATTTTCAGTTAAGGTATTACCTAAAAAACTGAAAATTTTATCTTCAATCAGTGTAACCGTTTACGAGTTATGAGAAATTAATTAATCACTTATTCTTACTTTTTTTTCGCTGGTTAATCGGGTGATTTTTTGAAGTATTTATATTTTGATAATTTCGACGTCGATTTCGATCAAAATTCGCTGTAAAAATTATAAATAATTAATAAATAATAACAATGATAAAATAATAATAATATAAATATTAATAATAACAATAACAATATAGTGAAATAGAAATGTAATATATGTATTGATGAATTTACCATTATTCAATGCATCACTTTGATTTCGAACGTCTTTCTTATCTCCTGAATTATTATTATAAAAATATCTCGTGCCCATCCAACGCTGTTTTTGTTTCATTGTTGCACCTAAAATTTTGAACATTCTTAACTTAAAAAATGTAGCCACCAAAAACACAATAAAGAAAATACGTAAAAATTCATATTAATATTTCTAATTATCTCTTATTAATACTAAAACACAAATCAACATTGATTTTTTTATTTAGCAAAATTTAATTAAAAATAGGAGATTGTTCCTATTTAACCCGAATAAATAGAAATTCTGGTTAAATAGGAACAGAAATGTCAACGCTGTTACTTATAATAGAGGAAGACAAAGTTATTTCTACTTAACTACAACACTATTTTCAGCATTATAAAAATGTATTGAAAATAGTATTGTTGTATATTCACAGTGTTTCAATTTTGGCATGATTTATTACTAAAATTGTGTAATCTATTATTATTTATTAGTTTTATTTAATAGCAGTATTTTTTGGTGTAATTATTTGTATCTTTTAACATTTGCTTAATTGAAATTAAATTTTTCCTTAATATTGTAAGAAATAATCACTGTTTCTTATTTACACCTAAATTTGAAAAACTCTGAAACATTTAACGATAAATAGGAAGAGATGATTATTGAGATTTTCTACCATAGATTCTACTGTCCCATAAAATCGTTCCACGGAAGTGAAATAAAATAATAATACACAAAAAACCGAAAGCATGGCGCTTTGAAAGAAAGAACTTATGTTATTGGTTAAACTTAGCAAATCAGTTCCTATTTACACCAACTGACCATATCATTTTTTTGTAATAAAGAACGGAAAAAAAATTTTTTTTTAAATTTTAAATCTTGAACTGAATTCTGACGTGTAATCACCCTTATATACACACACATAATGACATTTTTTTAAAATATGAATTATGGACTTCTGAGGTCGAAAGACAAATAGAAACATAAAAAATTTTAAAACGATAAATTTCAGGAACACAATTTAAACAACAAAAAATTATTAAAATTACGTAAATTATTATTATTACATTTACCGTAATTTTTGTCATAAAGTTTAGATCGAAGATCTTTGTTGCCTTTATAACTATTATTTTGATATTTTGGATTTACCCAAACACGATTCGATTCCGCATTGCTTCTTCTATATGTTTCGGAAACATGAGAATCATGTGATCTGCGATCTCCTTCTATTGGACATCAATATAATTTTATTAATAATTTATAAATATTTTTAGTAAGTTAAAGTTCTTATAAACTTTAAATGTATATTTGAATACCCGGATCAAATAACTCGACTGACGCTCGGACGAACGCTCTATTACCAGTCAAGTAGCAGTGACAGCCTGTGGGCGGCTCACTGCTACCCGACTACCATTAGAGCGTGCGTCCGAGCGTCAGTTGAGTTATTTGATCCGGGTATTCATTTAAAAAAAATTCTAAGCACAATTATGGCAAGAAAATATTTAAATAAATGTTTTGACTAATTTATTACTTCCAAAAAGTTTTAACATCGGAACCGAATAAAATAATTTTAATTAAATTCATAAAATTTTTATATTTATACTAATCAAAAAGTTTAATCTATTTTTATCACAAATTTTTTTAATGATGAAAAATAAAAAAAAAAATTTTAAATCTTAACGAAAAGTTATATTAATTTTATAACAATTAAATGTACAATGTTTATGTGCGCTTTAGTGCGCATATAGTTATGATAGTTTAATAACTGTAAAAAATTTTAGATGTTTTTTGTGAATCCAAAAATATGTGGTTTACACATTAAAATAAGTTTGTTTCTTCAATTATTTTAAATTGATACATGTATTTACATATATTTTCTATTAAAGAAAGTTTCTCGAGATATTTAAATATTTTGAGAAACATAAACAATTCTTTTTAATGTAAAGTAAACTTATACGCATCATTATGTAAGAAATCAAAAGAATAAAAAATTGGAAATTTTTAATGTACGAAATAACAATTATAAAATTTTGAAGGAAATAAATAAATAAATTTAAATTAATAAATAATAAATTTAAAAAAAGAATTGTAATACAATATGAAAAATTACTTAAATCGAATTCAGTTGTAATTATTTAAAAACAATATACGTAATAATATAAAAAAATGTTAAAAATTTTATATTATTATAATAAAGATAATTTACTTGAAAAAATATTCAGATCAAACTTCAATTTTCGTCTTCTTTCATAATGAAAATTAAAATTTTTTAATTTCAACATAAACATAAATGTAGTTTAACCAAATTGTCAAAAATCATAAAAAAACCGCAAATACAACTAACTTTAAACTGCTGACAGACAGAATGAATGAGAGAATGAATGAAAGAATGACAGAATACGGAGATTATTATAGTTCATTATTTCTAATTATAAACAAAAGTGTCATGGATTCAAATTACTTTTAAATTAAATTATTGTAATTTTAAGAAATAATAATATAAAATGATTTAATTTTCTAATAATTTACAGGATTGCCAGAATATTTTAATTATGAAATTTCCTGGCTTTTTCATTTAAAAACTTGAGTTTTTTCGGGACCAGAAAAATATTAAAGAGAAGATTAAAGAGAATTAATTAATTAAAAATCATTTAGTACTTACTTCTTGAACGGTGTTCATGAGACATTATTTATCTCTCGGTCGGTCACTTTCTCTTCAAATAATTTTTAAAACACTGTCTACTCAACGCGACAAACTTTTCGACAATGATAAAATAAAATAGATACCGAAGCTGCTTAGGATAGTCATATAAGCCACCAAAACGAAAAAAATTAAAAAAATGTAAACATGGTACATTAAGCACACAATAAAATTATTCTTATCGACGTTAAAAGAAAATATTTTGAAGCTTCATCAGTTTAAAAGAAATTTTTTTTCATTTATCTGTCAAAGGCAATTAATTTGATTTTAAATTTATTAACAGAAAAGAATTAGATATATTGAACTCATCAATTATGACATTTTTTTTTAAGTATTATTTTAAAGAGAAAAATATTATTGTGATTCATGTTTCATAATTTATTTAAAAATCTTATTATTAAGATTATATTATATATATTATATTATATTATATTATACTGTATTACATTAAAATATAATATTTTAACAATATATATAATAGAAATAATAAATTTAAATATCTAAAAAATTTGTCTTCTTCATTTGTTGTTCATTGCAAATGATCAATGCTATATATAGTAATATGTTAATAAATTGAAATAAACTATAACATTGTTTTATTTAATGTCATATTAAAAAGCAATGATTAATTTCACGTGTATAAGAGAAATATTTTATGTTAAGTTAACTTTAATTTAAATATACATTATCTGGTTGGTAATATTGGATATATATATATTGGAAATTAAATTTGTTGAATTATTTTCACATTTTGATTCAAAATATTAATATTCTTCAGTAGATCTTTTAAATTTAGAAATCGTGTATTAAAAAAAAAATTATTCCTTTAAATTTAAGAATTTATTTTTTTTACCAAAAATAAACCAGAAATAAAATACTTAAAGTATCAATAAATTGATTAAAAAACCTTGATATTTCGACGCGTCAGATCCTCCAAATTTAATATTAAAAAAAAAATAACATGTCATAAAAAAGAAATTTTAAATTATGATTGAATTGTAATAAATATCTTAAAAACCTTACTTGAAATAATAGAAAATATCCAGTTCGCAATTTTTGTTTCACAAAGTTTTCTAGTCTTATTGATCATAAATCTGAATGAAGAGTGAGCTCACATAAACCAATCATTCCTCATTTCATATTCAAACTTTTTTTGAATTAGGCAAAAAAAAATCAAAATATTGCACACAATATATTCCAGATATTATATGTTTATTAAAAGTTGACCTTGAATTTCATTTACAAAATCATAAAATAATTTTTAAGGAAGAACCACACACGCTATTAACGTTCAGCCATAGATGACTTTTAACACTCATCATTTGTTAACTAATTGTTAAATTGGACTATAACTTCTTGGAAAAACTTTTTTAGACTATAATGAACAACTTTCTCACTGGAACATTTTTGTTGCTCAAAATATGCGCGACTTCCTTGCATAGTGAAAATTACAGTTCACGAATTTTGCATTGTCTCAATAAAAAATAAATAACTTTTTGATTTATTGTTTAAAATGACAATTTTATTTTTTAGTCACTCGTAGGATATAATTACGCGTATTTTCGTTTTTGTTAAGTTAAGAAATTCGTAAAACTGACTGAGTAATCGCGAGTTAAACTGAAAAACACCATTAAAATGTCATTTAAAAAAAAACAGTTATTCCTTTATAGTTCGAAAACAATAATAGATGGTAAATTATTTATTAAGACAAAAAGATGTGAAATAAAGTGCTCTTCTATGATTCAGCCGCTCAATTATAAGAAGAAGTCACAGTATATTTTCCACATCAATTGAAAATATCAGCATTTAGACATAGGGGTCGTTTATTAATTACGTAAGGATGATTTTGGCTATTTTGACCCCCCCCCTCCCCCCACGTAAGATTTTTTACATGCATTAGCGCCATTTTTTCTATTGAACGTAAGAATTGCTGGACCCCCCCCTCCCCCTAAGAGCCTTACGTAATTAATGAATGGCCCCATATCGATCACCATAAGTAAAAACAAGTCCATACAGGCCTTGGCAGTTTGGACCTCTGAGAACCAATAAATTTAGGACCATCTCGAAAGTCCACCGATTTTAATTAAATTAGTTTTATTGGTTAATTTAAAGTTTAAATAATTTTCTTGATTCGTAACATTATTAATTATAAAATTAACTACTAAGGGACTAAGTACATAAGCACTTCAGATAAAAATAAATAATATATTTATACATAAAATAAATAGAAAAAATTAACTAAGCAAATAAAAAAATAAATTTCACCGGAGCGAGCGTTAGCGAGCGAGGACACATCGCTAGTATTAATTAAAATAGATTTAAAGAGCAGCAAAAGAAAGTCACTTTAGAATGGCAAAGTATGAAGCGGATGATGTTGCGCAAGAGAAAACAATTGGGTTATCACCAACCTTCTTCGCTTTTAGATATGGGCTTGAAAATCGTAACCATGCTTTGCTTTGCCAATATTTTTCAAGGAATGGTGCAAAGTGAAGGAGAAGTAGCATTGATATTCTCAACACCACTGCTTATACGATATGCCAATGAAAACGCAAGAGAATTATTCATGGACGGCACTTTTGACGTAATTTTTTATTGACTTCTTTAGTTGCTGATAACTAAGCAGAAGTAGTCATAGATCCTCCATAAATATACTTTGTAAATAATTTTTTTTTAATTTTTGAACATGAAAATTTACACTACCGTCGGAAATTGTCGGTACGATCGATCGAAATGGAGAAAAAAACACGGCTCCGCTAAAATCATAATTTTTTTGATAAAAATAAAGATATAGACTTGAATCTTACAGATTTGGAAAGTTTATAAAATTCTACATAAGATAGGCTTTGGTAAAATTTTTTATAACATTTAAAAGTTGTTGAAATTTTTAATTATTTATGGAACAAAATACTCTAAATTTTCAATTATCGTTCGATATGTTTAACCTGTTGCCTGATTCACAAAAATGATAGGAAAAATTTTTAAATTAGATCATTTTGTTCGAAAAATTGTCAGCTTTAAAATAAGCCAAAGAAAATTGAAAAATATTAATTTGTTTAAGAGATATGAATAAAAATGTCAGCGTATGTTTTCCTCGTGATTTAGTCAGCGATCGCCGCGTTCCCCGTCAGTTCCTTTCTCTCGTTCATCTGCCCAGGGCCGAATAGGCGACTTCTAAAGTGGGTGCTTACTTGCAGCCTCTTATACACTCTTTTTTTCTTACCATTACTTACTATTTAAATAATTTATTGCTCTTGCGATTAAAGTTTAAAGAGTAGTATAAAAAAGTTGAAACCATAACTATAATTGAGGGAAAAAAGAATGTATAAGAGGCTGCAAGTAAACACCCACTTTATAAGTCGCCTATTCGGCCCTGGGCAGATGAACGAGAGAAAGGAACTGACGGGGAACGCGGCGATCGCTGACTGAATCACGAGGAAAACATACGCTGACATTTTTATTCATATCTCTTAAACAATTTCCGACGGTAGTGTAATTGTTTAATAATCAATTTATAATGTAAGAAATATGAGACTTCTATTTGATAAATTGTAAAATTAGGATAAATTGAGAAACGGTAAATTAATTTTAATTTGAAAATTTACAAATAAAACCATAAACAAAGTGACGCCCATGACAATGTCTCATATGGTATATATAAAAATTTTAATATTTTACATTTTACAGAAAGGGGTCGTGCACATAATACGTCAGGCAATTTTTTCCATTTTTTTACCCCCCCCCTCCCCCCACGCCATGCACTGGTCGATAAATTCGCATCATTTTTACTAAAGGTCGTCAAAAATGCCTAAAACCCCCTCCACCTGTTCGCGTGACGTCATATGTGTACGACCCCCAAATAACAAAAGACAATTCATATTAGAATGGTGCTATCACGGAGAAAAATAGTTTGATAATATAAACAATTTTTATTGGACAAAAAAATTTTGTTGCAATATCTTTCGAAAATGTTGAATGAGTTAAAAGCGTTTGTCACAGTGTCAATTTAAAATTTATGTTGGCAATTGGATAATGCAGATATTAATTTTGCTACCGCAGCCAATTTTATTTGAGGATTGAAATTTAAAAATGTCGACGGGCCAGTCGAGCGACGCGTCAGCGAGGTGTGTCAGTCAAACTTGTCTCAGTGTCGTGTCTCGGTTATTTGCGAATGAGATTTTCAGCACATAAGTAAAGATTTATCTTGAAAAAGTTTGAATAAGTTCATAGTGTTTATCGAAAGTGTTGGTGAAGTGTATTTTTCGATTTGTGGGTAAAGTTATTGCCAGCTTAGTTCTCTTTGAATTGAATAAGTGTTGAGCGATCGTGTGTCAAATCTTTTTTTGCTTGCCATACAGATGTCAAACAAAAAAAGGTTTGATGCACGATTGCATAATAAATATTTCTCTTAGTGAAAATATTAACCAAAAGTGAGTTGAAAAGTTTGGATTTACTACATTTAAATTTGTTGCTGCAACAAATTTAGAGATAACAATATACTATAATGTGGGTAGGGATAACCACGCGCAAGTTGTATAGTGCTACATTTTCTTAGGATCAAATAAAAATTTTCGCGCCAGCAAACTAATTTGATCGCGCTATAGAGCCCAACAAAAATTGCTAGCCTATCCAATACTTAATATAGTGTAACAAATTATTTCTCTTTGTGATAAACTAAACAATTTAATTTCATAAAATAAATAATGAAAAATAAGATATAAACTTACATAGAACTTTAAGTTTTATATAAAATAATTCAAGTTATTTTATCAAAAAACAAACACAAATAGTGAGTTTTTGGTAGCCATATTAGTTACCGATCGATAATACAGAAATATAAAATAATTTTTTTTTGAATATTTTAAAAAGAAAATAAATTTGGATGTACTTCCGAAAAAGTCCCCCCTTTAAATTTAATAAAACACGGGTATTCTTACGTATTTTGGTGCATAGATTACGAAAATCATAGTGAAAATTGGCGCAAATTTGATTATCATGGTAAAAACCATAAAAAACACCATAAAATCATGGTTTTTTGCTATTAACTTGTAAAAATCGCAAAATTTCGAAAAATGTT